AGACTACAGTTTTCATCTGATTTTGATAAAACTTGGTGTGATGCTTTAGATTGATAAGCGGTCAAGTTCGAATTTGACATATTTTCGATGAACGGTTTTTGAGATATTGCCCTTGACTTAGAACGCCTTGAAATTTGTTAAAAATTGTTCGTGAGCAGGATTGAAGCTACAGTTTTCATCCGATTCTGATGAAACTTGGTGTGATCATTGGAATTGATAAGATCTCGGACAAATTCTAACTTGACGCATTTTCGATGAACGGTTTTTGAGTTATTGCCCTTGACTTTGTTAAATGTGTTGAAATTTGTTAAAAATAGTTCGTGATCAGGATTGAAGCTACAGTGTTCAACCGATTATGATGAAACTTGGTGTGATCATTGGAATTGATAAGATCTCGGACAAGTTCTAATTTGACGCATTTTCGATGAACGGTTTTTGAGTTATTGCCCTTGACTTTGTAAAAACGCTTCAAAATTTGTTAAAAATAGTTCGTGAGCAGGATTGAAGCTAAAGTTTTCAACCGATTCTGATGAAACTTGGTGTGATCATTGGAATTGATAAGATCTCGGACAAGCTCTAACTTGACGCATTTTCGATGAACGGTTTTTGAGTTATTGCCCTTGACTTTGTAAAAACGCTTCAAAATTTGTTAAAAATAGTTCGTGAGCAGGATTGACGCTACAGTTTTCAACCGATTCTGATGAAACTTGGTGTAATCATTGGAATTGATAAGATCTCAGACAAGTTCTAACTTGGTGCATTTTTGATGAACGGTTTTAGAGTTATTGCCCTTGACTTTGTAAAAACGCGTCAAAATTTGTTCGGGAGCACAATAGAAGCTACAGTTTTCAACCGATTCTGATGAAACTTGGTGTGATCATTGAAATAAGATCTCGGACAAGTTCTAACTTGACGCATTTTCGATGAAATGTTTTTGAGTTATTGCCATTAACTTACGAAAAACGCGTCAAAATTTGTTTGTGAGCACAATAGAAGCTACAGTTTTCAACCGATTTTGATGAAACTTGGTGTGATAAGATCTCGGACAAGTTCTAACAAGAGATATTTTTGATGAACATTTGTTGAGTTATTGCCCTTGACTTTGTAAACACGCGTCAAAAGTCGTTTTTTGCCCTTGATTAGAGCTGTGTGATTTAATTTTTTGATGTACATGGGTTATTGATATTGATTTTAAAAAATTTTGTGGAGATATTCAGCATAAATAATTTCTTCAATATGAGAAAATTCCTACTTTAGTCACTAAGGACTGTTTTATTATTTCTGACAGCTGCCAGTGGGCGTATGTTACCTTGCATCGCAAGCTATCTTTTATTAAGTCAAGGGTAATAACTAAAAATCCAAATGGTCATTAATATAATACTTTCACATCAGGTTTTATCTAGTTCAGAGAAAAACAGTAGTCTGAAGCTTGTCATTTTCACATTGGTCAAGGTTTTACAAACTTATACTTTGACTAGCCCATGTTCTTGTATCACATTATGTCATAATGGAGCGATTTGATAGGATTGTTAGCCAGTGAATACAGCCAATCAAAGCCCTCGAAAGAAAGACTGTAAACATGATGGCTTATCATTCACAGAGTCTGTGAAGGGCCATCACTGCGTTCTGTGGTTCAAAGAACCTACACCTAAAAGAAAGGCGGCTAATATATTCAAGGTATAAGACGAATTTCGTAACACCTTGACCATTGTGAAGAAGATAAGCTAGAAAATATTATAAGATATTGGTCAAGTTTGATAATGACCATATTTGGTTTTTTGAGTTATTGCCCTTGATGAAAATCTGATTCATATTAACGAAGTAATATTTTGTTTTAACGTAATAAGCAATTCGTTTAATAAAAATAATTGATTTTAGTTTTGATACTATTTCGTTTTAACGAACTGACTAACGCAATTACTAATTCGTTAAAATGGTTACGTCTTAGGGGTTACGTATATCACATAATAATTTTGACATTTTTGTCTTTGTCAAGGGCAAGCACCCCAAAACCTTTCAATAAACCCTTCAAAAATCTCACCAAAGTGTATGCATACTAAAGTTCATCGGATGGACGGACGGACATTAGGTGACAACAATATCAAGTCAAAATACTTCTAGGCATCTGAGTAAGAGTTCATAGTTCTTAGAAAGTAAGGTACAGTCAAATAGATACTTTAGGATACTTTATTTTCCAGTTTTGGAAATTCATACCACAATATGTTTATGTATAAATGATGCCTATTGCATACTCACAATGTACAAACTAAATGATACAAATAATAATATATACAATAGTAAACATCACTGCAAATAATAACAATGATAGGGTTTCATATAACAAATATTTTCTTTTATAATACATCATTATTATTATACAGACATTTTATAGATAGTGTGTGATATTTACTTACATGCATAATGATCTATATATATACACTATATAGTACTAATGGAATGACAGGATTAGTTAGGGCTTGATGATAGGATTTGAGAGAGGTAGCAAGGGTCTGTTATCAGAAACATCATACAAAGAACTATGATATGGTTGATCTTATTAAAGTGATCCTTAAGTAATTAGTTAGATTAAGAAGTAAACTAGAAAGAGAAAACAGACCCTGATTGTATACAATTCTTGTGAGCTGACAACACTATTGATAGAAAAATAAATCAATCAAAAAATTAAAAAATCTAAAATGATACAATACTTAAGGCGATACTGACAACCTTACAAAATGACTATCTTAAAGGGACAGATGTGCCATTTGTATATAGTCTTCAGAAGTACTAGCACAGCAATCACATAATTCATTTAAAAATACTTCTAAGAATTTTACTCACTATTTCCATTTATGTCTTAAATTAAGGAGTAGTCAAGATAATTCTTGACACACATGGATTTGAAGGCTTAAATATAGACGGTGAACTGTGAAAACTAACACTGATTTGCTCAGGGCAAAAATTTCAGTTTCTAAGACCAAAGTATAATTGGTAAAAAAAACATGGCCTACCTGTCCCTTTAAGCAATACAATGCCATGATAATGATTTAACAAAATTAAGAAAAGTTAATTTACATTTTAATCAAATGTGGTTTTATAAATTTATCAATGATTCCAAATCTTCATAAATTTTTCACTTTAAAATATCTATTATGACATTTTCCCGGTCTGGTAAAATGAATACCGTTTTGAGAGCACCAATGTACCTTGAGAATAGCTATGACCTACATGGCGTAAGATCAAATGTGATTTCAGTGAAGAGAGAGGAGAAATTTTAAGATATACCATTATAATCTTTTCTTGACTTATATAGGAACATTTTACTGATATTAAATATTATACTTCATTTACATATATTCTTCTTTCACCATTACAAAGAATTTGGAAAACTGGAAAGTTTGTGTTTATCAACCTTAGAAAATACCTTAAAATTCATATTGTATTTAGATCTGGAACATTTGAAGGGAGATAGAATATTTCTCACTGATTTCAATGGAGCTTTAAAATGTCCTTTGAAATCATACTGAAAAAGCTTAAATTTTCAAGATTCAAGCAGTTGATTATAATATAATAAAATATTATTTTTATATTTTTCAAGTCAAAAAGTGCACCTTGAATTATTTTTAATGTGTATAATTCCTATCGACTAAAAAGTCTTTAATCTTTATACCTAATCGAATAATAAAAGATGAGTCAATTAACATGTATAATACTGTCTAGATATGGCAGAAAAATTACCAGGAGAAAATGCATCATGCTATGCAATGTCATGCATATAATATTGAGAAAATAGAACCATTTGATATTTTCATGCAACCATCAAATCAAATCATGGCCAGAGTATCACCATGTTCATTTCAATCAGTCTTTCTAGTATCTAATAGTTATTCATTCAATTCAATTGTTGAAAGACCTCAATTAATAAATGCCTTTTAGAATAAATTCCTAAACAATCTAAACCTGTTGCATTTAGTTCATTTAATAAATAAAGACCTATCCCAAACTACAAGATGATACTTAGTAGAAAACCTTGATGTGTTTGAATGAATACTTTAATATAACATGAGCTGCCAAATAATTCTTACACCTGTTGAACAGTATAACATATATTGGACATCACATTACATTCATATGCTAATCAAATTCTTAAAATAATTATGATTCAGGAGAAATCAGACTACTTGTGTCAAACTTTTTCTACAAATAAGATTTATCCTAACAAACTTTATGATTTTACATCACATCTAACTAGCAGTGAAGTACTGGTTAAAAGCATGATATATAAGTATCATCAGGAATGAACCAGTATGCCACGGCAACACAAAATTCTATCTCATTGTCTAACATTCAATTGATCTGCAGTCCAACACTATTATTATGATTTCAGGATCAAACATTATATAAAAATTTATCAACTAAAATAATTTACTAAAATCTCGAGTTTTCTGATAATCAAACCTTATAGACGCTAAGTTATATGAAGTAGAAAAAGTTATAACAAACACCCAAGACTATGCTGGGATCTCAATGATAATAAAATGATAAATCTATCAAATTCTTAAAACAGCCATTAGGTTTGAAATTCTTATTCTTTGAATTAATCACCTCAATAAACATCTGAGTAAACTGGGTTTACTTTTAATCCAAAAAGGTTGCTATAACTACTTTAAGTGGACTAGCATTCCATGAAACTTATCAATCAAATACAGAAAAGATTCTGTAAAAAATATCCAAAGAAATATTAAAGGCTGCCCTTAATTCCAATTTACTTTGACCTGAAAAAGGCAATGATAATAACATATTTCTATCTGAATTGGTGCATCCTATACATCACTTTATAAACTGATTCTCTTGTATCCTGCAAGACCAGCTTGTATTCTCTTCTCTTGTTACTTTCAATTTGATTCTTATAATATATAATAGATTTGATAGCACTTTATTTCTCTAGTTCATAATGCTGCCCTATAGATTCACTTCCAAATATTTCACTATTAGAACTCTCATTTTAGGAATGTTTTGAATAATAAATTTGATTTTGAAGTCGATCTTTCTTGTTCTAGTAAAAATAACATGTCCCTGAGATTCACACGTTTCGTTCTGGGTCGATTAATCATCTGAAAATAAAAGTAAAAATATAGTGATGTAAGGAGATACATTTGTGAAAACTACTGTCTGTAGTTCCCTTCAGCATCAAATCTGACAAGTAGTTTATCAGAAATTTAAAAAAACAAACATAGGGTTGATGTATTGGCACTTTAGATATATCCAGACAATTTTTAACATTGTTTCATGAAACATTACTGATTGTCATCAAAAACTTGATCTTTTGAAATGTTTTAACCACAGACAAAAGTACTTCCAACTGGTAATTACTGCATATATGAATACTAAAAACTGAAGACTTGACAGTGTTTAATAGGGAGCCCCTAAGGCACAATTTTCCATACTTTCATAAAATATCTCGTTTTAACGAAATAATTAATGCTTTTAAACGAAATAAGTTATTTGATTAAACGAAATAAGTTATTCGATTTCGTTTCAATGAAATAATTAATTTGTTTATACGAAAAGTTTTTCGTTTAAACGAAATATATGAAAAAAAATGAAATAACAAATGTTTTTAGTTTGAAATTTCGTAATAGCGAAATAACGAATTCGATAAAACAAAATATTTATAAAAGTACGGAAAATTGCGCCTAAGGGGTTTAAGAACAACTATGAAAAGATGAATGATAAACATCAACATGAAAGCTGAGGGCTCATTAAAAAGGGTTGCAGCATGAAAATTGACAATTATATACAAGCAACAATATAATTCCCTTCTTAAAAACTTGAAGGGTATTGTTTAGAAATAAGAATAAATTAAGATATATTACCGAGATATTAGATGAGATACCACTATCATTAGCTGTTGATGATGAATTACTACCAGACTATAATTACATAAAATATTCTTATAATATTCACTTGGCTAATATTCGAAAAAATATTCCACAAATATAAAAAGTTCATCCCTTATTATACTGAAATTCAAGAGTTTCCTCAAAGAAGCGGGGTCAAGTCTCTCCTAGTATTGCTAGTTCAATTTTTGTCGGAATTTTAATATTTCTCAATATAAAACTACAAGGTTACACAAATTTTTTATTGATTTTTTGAGGAAATGGAACGATGCTTCATTTCCAGTTACAATCAAAACAAAATCAAATGGCACCCATGATCTTGTTTCTTGTATAAAATATACATAGCATGAAAAATAGAAAATGCTCATTTGTATACATTATAGAAACTGAAAGACTTACCGCTTGCCCAACATCTGGCGTTTCAAGTTTCCGTTTCTTTCTTGGACCAATTGCTGCCAATGCTGTTAAATTAGCTTCACGCTGCCGAACTTCTTCCATTTCTGCTGCCTGGAGCTGTAAAAAAAAACCAAAGGAGCTTTTACAACTGGGAATCTGGTTAAATGGAGGTTTCAAGTTGTGGCTAAAGGGACATAACTCGTCATAGATGAGATAATAGAAGAGTTCACAATGCGTTCCACGTCTGCTGAAAAAATAGTAGGTGCAGAAAGAATTCAAAATAGAAAGAATAGAAAGGAGAATTCTGGTTCAATACTGTTCTATGAGATCAGCATTGGAAATAACGGAACCTGTTCATAAATCACAGTGAACTCATCAGAAGTTTTTAGAGTATTATTCTTACCTCTTTAGCTTTTTGTTTCAATTTTAACTGTTCTGGATCTTCATTCTTCGATCGACTCTGTTAAAGATATATCTTATAGTAACAAATATTCAAGTAAAACAAAAATATTCACCATTAAAAGTGAACAAAATATCAATTTCAAATAGTGAAGTGCAGAATAACAGTAAAATTTTGATTATAAGAGAATGAGATGAATACAAGTCAAATGATGAATTAAGAATTTTATGTAAAATATGTAATTATAAATTGATATGGTTTAGTACTGATAACCAGAAAAAATTTGATAGGCAAAAAAAAACCCTACCTTTATAGCTCGTAATAATATTTCTCTTTCCTGTTCCTCATGACGTTTCTTCTCTAATTTATCAATTTCTTCTAAAAACTTTAACTGTGTACGCACATCATTTGTAACTTCATATCTTTTATCCATCTGTAATTCATAAAGTAATATATAATGTACTGATGATTTTGATAATTAAATGATTATCATTACAAATTCAAAACATTGACAGTTAACTCTACAATTGACATATATATATATAAAAAAATTATGTTATAATTTTACTAAAAAACTGGCCCAAACATACTCATGATTCATGAACTTTTTTTCAATATCAATGAGCCCATAGAAAATATTTTTTTGAAATTTATATTGGAATGCCTGATTTTGCAGGATAGCAATTAGAAGAATAGAAAAATTCCAATACCACAGACAAATTTGACAAGATTTTATGATTTCAATTCACTTAATTGTGACTACTTAGTCATTAAGTTATATGGTATATGAAAGATAATATCTCACTTTATATATTTCTATTCTATGTTCTGCTATTGTAGAGAGTTTTTCTGACATGTCACGTAATCTTTCTTGTGTAGCATGTGATATCATATTGGCTACATCTAATGATACTTCATCTAAACCATGTCGTTTAGCTACAATTAAAACAATCATATACATGTAGTGTACATTCAGTAATCTTTAACAATATGATTTTTTGGGGGAAATTTTGTCACAGTCATATTTTCTCAGTGAAATTAACGCAGATAAAATTAATCAGACAGAATTGCAAGGACAATTGTGACACAAGATATTGGCAAATCAATACATCACAATACAACTTGCCAGGATACTTGATTCTTGAAAAACATGTTACACAACTAAGAAGTCATCCAAATGCATGAAAAGTACTACTTAGGATGTAGTTGAAAACAAATTACTAGTAATATATCTCTCTTATCTGAGAACTGATAGAAATTTGGACGCTCCATTTTTTTCTATTACCCCATGTATCGTGATGTGGTTGGCAATACCCAGAATAAACAGAGAGTATATGAGATTATAATAAAATAAAAATTTACCTATTTCATGAATTCTGGACATAAGAGGACCATGAAACAGAAATGCTTCATCTTTACATGACCTAATTTGAGTCCCAATGAAGTCGGCATTTGTTGCTAAAATATTTTTAGATTCTTCTGAGAGATTAACTCCACCCATTGTAGCTACATCATTGATGTCATCATCTCCATCTCTAGAAATTATTGATAAAATTTGACATTAGTAACTAGAGAGTCTGTGTAGAATAAGGTGACTTCCCATGCCCAATGTTCAATAATTGATAGACGTAAAATGTACTTACTACAACAAAATACAGCAAGTTGCATCAGAACTGGAAAAATCTTGACAATTGAGATTAGAACGATCATTTTGTTGTTTGTTTTCAGCAAATGAATGAATTTGAATGAATTACACTTGCACACTAAAACATTTTGTAAAACCAAGCATGAAGAATAACAAATGACTCACTTGAGAGATTCAAATTTTTGTTTTTCTTTTGGTGCTGGACTACTAGATGGTTTGACTAGTCGAGATTGAAATGAAGTGACACCAGTTGGTATATTGCCTTGTAATGGTACTGGTGCTCTAATTCTAACTATACCACCAGATTGCTGCCCACCTTGCTGTGTCATTACTCTATTACCTGGTCGTACAAACATTTGGCCTGGAACACCACCTGGTCTCATAACCATCTAAAATATCATAACAAATAGTGTTTTAGAAATGATGGAAAGGTTGAAGTTAGAATATTAAAAATGGGGTGGTTTTGGGTATATTCAGAGTTTAGGGTGATAAAAAGGTGACCTGATACAATTCAACAGTATTATTGGCACAGGGTTACAGGAGCATTCTAAATTCTGAAACTGTCAAGCATTAAATATACCAAAATACATATTAGTTGCTTAAAGGAATAGACTCTTTTAGAATGAACATGAAATTTGAAATCGTTCAAACTTGGCCATTAACAGTGTTTATCCATCAGTGGGCCTACCTGGTGTCATAACTATCAAAATCCCTCTATAATCCAATAAATCCACAAATTCAAGTAATTAATTATAAAACGCTAAATAAATAAGCGATTTTCAATTTGTGAGTCTTGGAAATCTGTTATAATCGTAAGGGGAAGTAACTCTCACACGGGGTTTCCCGCGTCCTTGACCTTTACTCTTGAATTGACCTCGACAGGAATCGTACAAGAATGTACAATAAGAAGACCAAGAAGAAGCAATTCATATTATTTTATGATTTCTCAACCACTGACTATTAATCATTGGCAAAGTTTGTTTGAATACACCGGAAGATGATTGCCACTTTGCGCTTGCACATTAATGGGTTTTTCCTTATTCCTGCTTTAGCGTTGATTACCCAGACTTTTTTTAAAAACTGAACAGATTCATTGGTTGCTCACTTGTTTTTTTTAAATTCTGAATATAGTTTTATTGTCGCTTTTTCAACATTGACAAAGTGTTGGATGCATACTTATTTAACCATTGATCAATATTAAATACAAATATTAGCCACAGGACGAGTGTATTCTAAGACGTTCTATTCCATTAAGGATAACAGTTATAAAGATCCTCTGTGAAACCTTTTATGCAGAATAATCTTATAACAATTACCAAATTACAAAACTAAGATTTTGAGTTGTTTTGAATTCAAATTTCATGTTTAATAATATCACAGATACATTATAAATGGGAAGTAATTTTTTTTGAGCAACAGGGCTTTAGTCTTGTTGCTGCTGTTGCCAATCCAAAGAACTAAAAATATATTTGAAACACAACACAATACCTGTTGAACACCAGAAAATGGCACAGCAGGTCTGGGTTGTACGGTAGTTGAGGCAGGTACAGCTTGCATATTTGCAACTTCTGGTGGTGGTGCCTTCACTCCATCTATCGTCATTTTATTCAATAATAAATACTGGCGTAATAAAGGTAAACTTTTCTACAATATAAATTACATTAAATTAAATTATTTGTCAAAGTTTAGTTAACAGCATTTAGCCGTAAGACAATAAGATTTGATGCTCTGATGAAGATGTCTGCATTCTCATTTTTTTTAAATGAGTGACGGTACCTCAGTATGTAGAATTGAAATGTTATTGATTAATAATTGTGAAAATAGAAGTGGTAAAAACAACTTCTGTCAGAATGCAGAATTCTTTGAAGAAACCATAAAAATATTCAAAATGACTGTAAATACCATAGTCTCAAATATAAAAACACTTTACCTTTAAAAAAGGAACTAAATAAGGCTGAGGTGATGATTTTAATTCAACTTGTAATTTCTCTGTAAATGTTTGAGGTTCAACTTTAGCATCCTATAAAAATATTAAAGATTAACAGATACAAACCTTTCAACTTTTCAGTTAGCTAGACATGAGGATCGGTATTGCAGATCAAATGTTGATTCTGTATGATTGATTAAAATCTTGCAACAGAAAGTTTGTTACACAAAATAATTTCTAACTGAAAATGAGAAAAATGAACTGAATATTTTCAGATGAATATTTCAACTCACAATAAGACCCTGTATAAGTTCTCGAACATTACGAACGGTTTCTGCTGGTTGACTTTGAGCTAATTTTATTAATGTAGATAAGAAGTTTTTACATTTTTCAACATTCTGTAGCATACCAGACTGACCTAGCAAAACAAATAAAAAAATCATATTAATATACAAAGTCAATAAAACTTTAAACTTTTTAAGTCTTTACATTTAAAGTGGTTTTGGTCTTGCAAGTTACTTGCAGTTGACAATTGTAATATTAATTCTGTGTCCTTGCATTGCTTATAGTCAATCAAAATTGTTCTTTCTGTTCTAAAACTAGGTCATCAGAATACCAGTGAAAAAGGGTGGCATACGACTGCTTAATAACTTGTGTTCAGAGAAAAAACAAATAAGTCATATCAAAGTTTTTACCAGCAGCAGTAACAGCTGATTGTTGTTGATTAGTTGTTGTTGGTGTTGATGATGTTTGTGATGGTATAGGTGTTGCAGTTGTTGCTGATAATGTTGATGTAGGTAAAGCTGGACGTTGTACACCACCAGGAGATTGAATGACAACTTGTGAACCTGGAGGTCGGCCCATTGCTAATGTAGTATTAGGCTAAAAATCATATTACACAGTTTTAGAAAAGAAGACATTTAGTTTGTAGGGACAAGAAACATATATGTTATAGATGTTGTTAAGTTATGAATGGTGAACTTCATCATTGCTTTACTCACTAAGATGGGACAATTAACTTTATTGCAAATATTTCATATGAAGAAGTGAATTTTAACACATCATAAACAACCTTTTTCAAGTCAGATGAGGTTCCAGGACTCATCTAATATTTGCCTTCAGTTCAAATTTATAATCTCTTGCCCAAATTAGAGATTTACTTGCCGAAGTGTAACAGAGTAGAGATATGAAATAGGTTCAGATTTGATGAGGTGACTCACAGACATTGTGGGTTTTTTTTGAAGGTCGAAACAAATATTTTGCTCAAATTTATGAGAAAAATATCAAAATCTAAAGAAATGTGTCCCTGGACCTGCCATTAATTTATTCAAAAACTACTAAAAACAAAAATGTAATCTTTTAAAAATTTTTTATTTATTAAAGGGATTGTCAAGAGCTTTCTAGCCTTTTTAGGTGTATCTGGGACTCTCCAATTCTTTGTCGGATGCCCTTGGTTTCTGCAATTCCAAAAAGACGAAAGGTTACTACTACTCGCCGTATTCAAACCTGTCCATTTTATCATAAATAATGATATTTATCTATCTGATTTACGCTTAAAGGGACAGGTAGGCCATATTTTTTTCACCGATCAGACTTTAGTCACAGAAACAGGAATTTTTTTGCTAAGCCAATCAGCTATATATAGGAAAAGTGAGTAAAAGTTTGAAGTATTTTTAAAGGAATTATTAGAATTATTTTCGTTCATGTCTTATACTTCTGAAGACTATTTACCTATATAAAAATCAAGATTCAAATCCAAAATGGGGCATCTGTATCTTTACATATAATTCTTCCATTCTGTTAAAACTAAGCAAAGCAAACAGTGTTCAAAGTAAAATGAGAATCAGTCGGCAATTTTAAGTTCGAAATGCCATCTTGTAAGGGGATATAACATATATTATTATAGTGTTATTGTGGTCTGGTGGTAGGTAAAAAGTAAAGTAAAAACACCAATTTTGTTACTTTAGCAGTTTGACCTAGTTTTGGTATTCGGCTTTATAATGGATCAATATTACTAGTTGAAAACATAGGCGTTTAGTTTCCTTAAATCTATGCAGTAGTTTTCTTACAACTTCCAAAAAGCATATTGAACCGTAAAATTTTAAGTAAACTTACATAAACTTTTAGATAGTTTTGGTGTTTAAAATATTAACGGCTGGATTTTTATATTTAAAACTTTCAGATACAATAGGGAAAACATTTTTCTACAATTTGGTGTGTAGTTTTCAAGAGTTTGAGCAAAAAAAATTGTTTAACCTCCGAAAAAGCGAAATTCCCCATTAAACTTGTTACATAGAATTATCAAATCATACTTACTCTAACACCTTGAACTTTAGTTGCTAATAATGGACCTTGACCTTGATTTGCACCTGACTGACCTGTAGAAACTAACATTAACTGACCATGTTCATTCTTCATTAAAATAGTATTTGGTGGCAACTGAAAACCAGGTCCTAATGTAATTGTATTCTAAAAAAAAACAGAATGTTTAAATTTATTCAAATAGTTCCTTTAATATCCTTATTAGACTTAGATTTTTTTTAAGTTGGTAACAATTCAGTTAATTAAATTGAATTTAAAATGACTGTGTTTCAAAATGACAGATACTCTCTAACCATTGTGATGGAACCTAAAATGAAATGAAGCCATTTGAAACTGTAAGATACTACAAGCTTAGATTTTTTAAAATTCCATTTACAATAAACATACAGTACATACATAGTTTCAATTGAATACCACTGTAAAATAGATATTTTTATTAACCTACATAGACAACCCAAAAATATTTTGACTAATTTCAGGTTTTTAATAAGAAATAAACAAAGTAATTGGTGTAACCATAGTGAATGAATCAGTAAGCTTACAAATGAAAACTTATAAGGCCTACAGAGAGATAATAATGTTTCGCCATAAACATAGTTATGGTAGGCCTTTTAGCTCATAACCATTCTTTAAAAAAGTATCCAAAAGTTTAATACCTTAACTCATATTGACTATGATTTATGAAAATAAAAGCTGTACAAGGTAAGTATGCCAATGTGTTTCCAACTGATACCTGTACTACCTCTAATCTTAATCTTAGAGTTATTTGCCAATAACTGTACTAGTATGCATTTATCGGTAGACTTACCTGAAGTCATACATAAAATCGAATTTAAAAAGTAAAACAAAGTTATGTTTGAAAAAGCTTATAAAAACGTTCTTCAATAACCTACTGTAGTTTTAAGTGTACTTAGTTTTGTGGATATTTCAGATTACTATAGAGGGATTCCTCTGTTGGCACTGGGTAGGTTCGAAAGATAGGAATATTATTTGATACTTTTTCACCTATTATTATCATAAATGCATAGTCAGTCTTTAAAGTAAAAGCCCCATTATATTTAAGAAAATAAAAACTTTAAACAAAGTAATAAAATGAGAACTTACACCTGTTCCTGGCTGTCTTGGAGCAATGCTAATTTGCTGCTGAGGATGATTTGTCATTCTTATTGGAGCGGAAACGCGCACTTGTCCAGGTTTTGAAGTCACATGTCTTACAGGATTAACAAATTGCACAGATCCACTATTTGAGGCATTTGGTGGACGAACCACAGTCATTTGTTGTTGCGATGGTGCACGTACAGTAACAAAATTAGGTCCGGAATTAGTTGTAGACTTAATAGTTGAATTAACCATTGGGCGACCTCCAACAACAGACACTGGGGATCCACTAGATAAAACAACTCCTTGTGATGTAGTTTGACCGACAACATTTTGAACACCGTCCTTCACTATTTCGCTTTTAACAAACAAAGGGTTGACTTCTTGTTTTGCATTGCCATCAGGTTTAACTATAAACTGTTTTGGAGATGCTATCACAGATCTGCCTTTTTGAAGCTGAGTATGATTACCGTTTTGTGCTATAGTCATAGGTTTTTGCTCTGAAGCAATATTGGCCAAATTATAAATTGCATTGGCTGCAGAGTTTGTTCCCCTTGAAGAAGACACATTTTGTTGAGATAACTGTGGCACACTTGTATTGGTCACTGAATTAGCACTTTCACCTGGACTTGGATTAGTAATATGAACTGACGTGTCCGGAACATTATTTTGGTTTGGATGGACTAAATTTCTCACACAGTTAGAAGGTAGAGACACATTCAGATGATCAATGCTCTGAGAAGTTTGTGATTGAGAATTAATATTTACAATTGGGGGAGGAGTGTTAGAATTTACACTAGGAGAATTACTGAGCAGTTGATTATCATGAACAACTTTTGTCCCTTGATGATGAGGAAAAAGTAAATTATTGTTCGTTTGAGATGACAAAACTTTTTGAGTTACATTTACCTGGCCAGAAGAACTGAAAATAGAGTTTGTTGTTGTTGCATTAGAGGTAATGCTAATGTTACTTATGTGATTATTGTTGACGGGGTTATCTGGTGGGATTTTTGACAATTCTCTGTTGGAGGAGGATGCTAACTGTGACTCCAGGGACCCAACCAACGCATTGACCGCACTCTCGTCTATTTCAGAGGAAAGTAAATCATCAATTGAACCTGGGTCCGCCATTTCCCTGGCTCGCCAAAATTTATAATGTAATGCGCATGCTTAAAGAAGAGTTGAATCTTGGGATGGATTTTGAGTTTGAAGCGCCCTCTGGTTTCAGATGCTGAAGAACGCCATTTTCACCAAAGACTGTCAAAAGTTTGATATTTTAATCCACAAGCATCTTCCCTAAGAGTACACTCATCTGTTAATCGCAGTCATGAGTGGGGGAATTCCTTATTTAGGGAGTAAGATAAGTCTTATTTCGAAAGCTGAAATTCGGTACGAGGGCATTTTATACACAATAGATCCAAATGAATCTACAGTTGCACTGGCAAAAGGTGAGAAGAAAGAATCGCGATTTCAGTTAAATGCCACCACTTTTGTATCGCAAAGTACCCCATTTCCCAAACTGGCCATATATTTATTTGTCTTTCCTATCCATAAATCAGAGTTGTTGTAAATAGTCAAAAGGCTAAATTAATGAAATATTCGAACCGAAAACGAAACAAGCGAACTTGGAAGTTCATTCAAAATCCGAAAATGATATTCAGACTAGGTCGAGTTAGTAGAATGAAACTATCAAATCTGACGGTGCAAGTACACTGGTCTCAATGTTCAGTCATCAGATTCAGGAGCATAATTTATCTCAATGTACTCATCACTGTCAGATAACTTTTAATATGACATCTAATTTTAAGTCACACTCCAAATCTGATGACAGTAACTAAAGTAACCAAATTTGACACATAATTCATAAATTGGTTTTAGTGTTCTGAACAATGTTTAAGAATAATCAGAAATGGTACTATTATGTTGTATAAAAAGTCTTTTAAACCATTTTCTTGCAATTACTTTCTGACTACTATGATCTTTGAATTAAATTTGTGTATCATTTAAAATGTAAAGCCTTCGAAGACAAATGGCATACAATTTAAAATTTCCTCTGAAATATTTATGAAATGAGAGAAAATCCAATTCCAACCTCAATGTAGTCAGAGAGTAGATCTACCATCATCGTAGTCCGAAACATTTGCCTCTATTTTAGTCTCAAAATGGATGTTTTGGCAGTTGTCAGCTAGAGTAGTCTTCTCAGAAGACTACGTTAAATGGGGATTTTCCACACCTCCAAGATACGTTTTCTTTAACATAATATTGAATTACGATTTTAAGATGATTGTAAATTAGTGTTGGGCACCACGGTAACTTTTGTTTTGTTAGTATCAGGTGAATATGACCTTTGAACTTTTGGCTGCACATGCAGTGTTAAATGGCGGATGCTAGATCAGTTTCTCCAAAAAAAAACTGATGGAACATAGGGAGCAAATGATGACTGAACTCCAAATATACCTGTGCTTTGCACATCCGAGGCATCTAAATAGGATTAAAACCCCTGCGGAGATGCGGAATGTCCCATGTAACAGGACTTATTAATCTTATTATTTCTGTCCCTACACCTGCTGACTTCAGTCCAAATAGCTATCAGAGGCTGGAATAGAGACAGATGTTTCGGTCTACCATCATTCATCATTCATCGGAGCTAACTGAATTAGCTAGGCCTATATTTATATTTATTGCATTCAGCCTGGTAAACACATAATTTGAGAATACCTGATTTGAAAACAAAACTTATTTCTCCATTAATCAAGTCTGTTGCCAGAAAGTTTAATAACTGAAGCTGAGTACTCAAAACATCCATGGATTTCAAATTTTATGTTTCATTTGGTATGCTAAAAGCAAGCTATTTTCTTAGCAAAGTAAACAATTTTTTGAATTTTGCCCATTATTTTAAGAGAATTGGAATATCAGCTTCAAAGTAGTACTGATGTTCTTTGCGACTGATATTCCAATTCTCTTTAAAAATATGGAAAAAATTCAAAAAATCTTTTTACTTTGTTCGGACATTAGATCTATTGTTTAATCAGGCTTTGCCAATAAAATGATTTTTTAAAGTGAATTTGAATATCTTTATCTGCTTCAAAACAGTTCTGTTTTTCTGTGTCTTGCAAACTTCAGTATTTTTATATAAACTTTATTATTTCAGTTAGGTCTTTTGGTACCGAAGACAGGCCTACAGACAGACCAGTTCCTCCAAGAGAAGAAATATTTGAATATATTATCTTTCGTGGAAGTGATATAAAAGACCTTCATGTGTGCGAGCCTCCTAAGCAACAATCTATCCATGGTTTGCCTGCTGACCCAGCCATTGTTAAGGTATGATTTGATATCTGTTCACCTTAAGCTCAATACACGATTTTATGTGACAATTTAAAAAAAAAAAAATTGTTCATTTACAATAATATTTAATATTAAACTACCGTTAGTTAAAATTTGTTTCCTTGCATTTCAGTCATCACAACCTAATGCTACAGGTGGTGTTTGTCAACATGCTGGTGGTTACACACCAAATTTTCAACCCTTTGGTGGGCCTCCCGCTCAGATGTATAATCAGTACAGTCAACAGCCATCTGCACCCTCTGCACCAAATCAGCCTTTTGTACAACAAGGTGCTCCACAACCTGGTGAGTTTGATTGTATTCATTATATTACAATAGATTAGATTTCCATAAATTTCTTCAAACCTTAATCCATTCTGCTGTTTTAATCTTAATTTTCTTACTATAGATAGAACTAAGCACAATGATTTAATTTCATAATAGGTTCCCGGGGTGCCTCCCCTAGTCTTAATCGGGTTTCACCTACTATGGATCAAGGTGTACAAGTGGGCTCACAGCTTTCAAGAAAATCGGGTAAATGTCAACAGGAACTTTTTTTGCCCTTGCTTCAGTTTAGTTGATGCCATGCTTGCTTGCACCATATGCACATCTTTTGGGCAATATTTCTGCAAATAACATCTTTCTCATATGGTATGAACTAAATCAAATCTAAATCAATTTTAAAAGAAGCTATTTTGTTGAAATAATAAGGCTTCAGTTTCTTGAAGAAATTTATATTGTGTAATTCACAAGTATTGCCCAGATTTACACCTTTAATTATCTTTACTCACTGTAGCTATATTTCTTAAATATGAATGGTCATTTTAAAATATTTTTGATACAAGAACAGCCTCGTATGAATTGGGAGATAAATCTGATCTTTTATCTTTATTTGGGCCTTGAAATTAAAAAAAAAGATATTCATTATAAGTACAAAATATTTTCAAGTTTATAACTGCATGTTAAATGAGATAGCGGTACTGAGGATAATATAGATAAGGTTTTTGAATTGTGTTAACCTTCATTTATTTATCAAAAACACTAAATGCCTATATTTGCACCATATTTGCTGAGGTTCCTATTATCATTACAGAAAATTGAGATCATGTATTTGCAAATGTCATGTTGTCTGAACACTGTTTAAAATAAGTATACTGTTTACAGCCAAGAAACCTAGAAATTTGACAGGATTGGGTGCATAGAAAATCCAGAAAACTTGTTTTAATAAAACCTTGAAAGTCAGATCAACCTAGAAATGATCTAATACATTGAGCTGAAGCTTTCAAGTTTCAAACAATGAACCTATCATATAATGATTTCTGTTTTACATAAAATTCAGATAATATATGCTTTGGTCATCAAGACACTGATATACATGTAGTAAGGATATAATTGTATGTTATTCAGGTTCTCGCGGAACAACTCCTCCTCCTGGAAGAAAATCGCCTACATCTGATACTGGTACTCAAGTTCCAACTCCACATATTAATAAAGGAAATCAGTCTCACCAACATCATCGTAATGAACATAAAGCTGCTGGTTACAATGAACAAAGGAATGAATATAGAGAGAGAAAGGGCCCTAATCAACAATATAAAACAAATAATGTACCAAACAGAGGTCGTGGATCTAGTCGAGGTAAAGTTATGACATGTACTTATGAATGGAATGCAAATTGTAGAAATAAGTTTCAGTTGTTCAGGCATTGTATTTTACATAATTTGAGATGTTGCTTTCTCTCTGAAATTGTTAAGCAGTAACTGATGCTTTATCATAGCATAGAGATTATATAAGATTATTCCGTTTATCAAAATCTTGTCCAAAGTATGGCAAAACTAGTCCAGAGCAGAATTTCTGAAGTATTCTAATTTTGAAATAATCTGATCAATTAATTACTTAAATTTTTGTATTGATATGTGCAGTAACAGTGTAATCCATTTAAATAGGTGGTCCAGTACGTGGTAGTCCCAATATGAGAGGTAGTTCAAGAGGGTCTTGGAGAGCTCCTAGTCGTGGAGGTGGAAGACCCAATGGTAGTAAGTCCGAACCCTTGAAGTTTGAATCAGAGTTTGATTTTGAAACTTCTAATGCACAGTTTGATAAAGAGAAGATAGAGGAAGAATTAAAGAAAAAACTTATTATTAGTAAGTATATTTGACAAATGCAGGGGTTTTAAGCCTTTTTTCTCTTACCCATTTCATGATCCTGCATCGATTGCTGTCCCACTTGGCTTTGAAACACTCAAAAAGGCTCAATTTTTTATACGCCCAAATCTCTCTATGTGGACGTATATTGTCGGCACCCCTGTCCGTCCGTCAACATTTGCTTGATGGAATCAAATGAAATTCGGTATGTGTATACATATTCATGAAACAAAGATCAAGTTCGAATTTGTGCTATTTTCGACCGTTTGAAGCAGAGTCATTGCCCTTGCCCCGAAATCTTGAATATTTACTATCCGCATGCCGTGGTGGGCGTATATGGCTGTGGTCTACTATCTTTATGTATTATGACAAAACTTTGTAATATGAATCATTATCACTCAAATCAAAGTTTGAAAGAAGTGGATGACTGAAGGTGGTATATTTCATACTAGTAATTCTTACTGTACTGCCAAATATTTTTATTCAAAATCAAAGTTTCCCGTGTCTATATTGCGTTGCTTGTCAAGCTATCTGTAATTCACTCACTTGATGATGCAATCATTCTATGATCCAAAACAGCTTAGAAGAGGAACTAGCTGAGCTACATTCATATGGCGTGACTGATCAAAATGACATCGTTTCCCCGATTTTATACGCCCACATAGAAATGTGGACTTATGTTGCCGTCGCCCCTGTCCGTCATTGTAGGCGCGATAGAGGCTTTAGTATGCATGTATATATTGATAAGAGCTTGGTCAAGTTTAATTTGGTCATAATCGGATGAATGGTTTTGAAGTTATTGTCCTTGACTTACTAAAAAAAACTTCAAATTGTGCTTGATAATTGGATGAATGGCTTTGGAGTAGTGGCCCTTGAAATAATTCAATGCATCTTATTTGGCTTGTAGGCCTGATACAGACATTTTTTTTTAACATATTAAACCACTAGAGACTTTTTATCATTTCTGTCAGCTGGCAAGCTATCTTGATATTCTGCAGAATTAACAGCTTATAGACACAGGTAGCCAAGTTCAAGTTCTAGTTGATCTTCTATGACGTTTGCACACAGTGAGTTTCTGGCTCTCAAGGTAGAAAATATCTGTCTGAATATTTTCCTCACAGCCTCTCCAGGCAGGAATCTCAATAGAAAATTCAGTGCAGACAGGGGAATAGCTCAGTTAATTCCTCTCATTGACCTTCATTGATTTGTATCTTGCCAGACTTTTATTGGATCATTTATAATTTTTAAAGGTGATAAACCAGTTAATGGTGAGAAAGAAGAAGGAAATGATGAAGTTACAGAACATCCTCCAGAAGATGAAGATGAAGAACCATATTATGATAAAAACAAGTCGTTCTTTGATAATATTAGCTGTGAGGCCAAGGAGAGAGCAGAAGGGTAGGATTATTTCTTGTAATTACAAAAACTTTAAAGATAAGAATTCTGACCTATAAGCTTTTAAATTAAAGCCAATTAGGTATTTAAAGGTAAATCATGGAAAAATCTGATTTTTGACTTAATGGATTGATTTCAATGAAATTTGGCATATATTAAGAATTGGGCAATATCAATTTATAAGCAAAAAATCAAACAATTTGATTCATTTGAAGGGGGAGGGGAGTTATTGCAATTTACATGTAGCCACCCTGAGTGAAATAGTACCTTGTTCCTTGATGAAACTTGGTATGCATATATTGTTCGGATGAACGGTTTCAGAGTTATTGCCCTTGACTTGGTAAAAACGCGTTGAATTTGGCTTGTATGCACGATAAAGAATACAGTTTTTATCTGATCTTGATGAAACTTAGTATGCATGTATATATTGATGAGATCTCGGTCAAGTTCAAAATTGGTAATAATCAGACGAACAGTTTCAGAGATATTGCCCTTGACTTAGTAAAAACACCTTTAATTTGGCTTGTATGCACCATAAAGGCTATAATTTTGATCCTATCTTGATCTTAAACTTAGTATATATGTATATATTGATGAGATTTCGGTCAAGTTTAAAGTTAGTAATGATTGGATGAACGATTTCAGGGTGATTGCCCTTGATTTAGTAAAAACAGTTCTTATCTGATCTCAATGAAACTTGGTATGCATGCATATATGGACAAGATCTCAGTCAAGTTGAAATTGATAATCGGGAGAACGGTTTTAGATTTATTGCCCTTGAAGTAATTCAATGCATCTAATTTGGCTTATAGGTCTGATAGAGACTACAATTTTTTTATACGACCTTGATGAAACTTGGTATGAGATCTCAGTAAAGCTTGAAATTAGTTAAAATAGGATAATTGGTTTCACATATTAAACCACTACAGACTTTGTTACTTTATCATTTCTGACAGCTGGTAGTGGGCGTATGTTACCTTGCCTGGCAAGCTTTCTTTCATTTTTTGACAGAAATCGGCTATTTTTCGACCCGCTCCTTAGCTTAAGTTATGAATTTCATGACCTTTGATAACTGATAAAGGGAGTGACACTTTTGAAAATTTAAATTATATCCCAACTTTCAAGTACGTTACTAAATGTAAGCTTGCTTTATTTCTTGTAGGAAAAATTCCAGGATGAGTTGGAGAGAGGAGAGGAAATTAAATGTAGAAACATTTGGTGCTAATGATGGTATGAGAAGAAATTATCGTGGTAGAGGTGGATATAGAGGCTATAATAATGGTGGTCGAGGAGGTTATAGAGGATATGCTAGAGGTGGTGGCTATGGATGGGGAGGATATGGTGGTTATAGAGGCAATTATGGTTAGTTTGTTCATGGTGTTGTATGATATATTTAATTCAATGTTGGTACCTATTTTACTTGCATCTCTGAGAATTTCTTTTTTGATGAAACCCAGATGAAATA